AATTCTGGGAATTGAAGCCCACCCATCTTTAAGTTGTCAAGGTTGGGAAACACTGGCCTATTGGATGCAGGACTTCAAATTTCCTTCCTCTCTTTGCAGCTCGGCCTATCCTTCAGCTCATCACAAGGCCACAGGGGGAGAAATTTGTTGTAGCCGTGTGCAACCTGAGCAAATTTTATCCCTCTCAAATCAACGTTCAGTGGTTGCAAAACGGAGTGCCACAAGAGCAAGTAAAGTCGAAGGTCCACCGCATGCACAACGGAATGTTTTCCATCAACAGTGTCTTCTTACCACAGAAGAATAACGCTAAAGTCACTTATGTTTGTCGAGTAGAACATGAAGGTTTTGAGATCCCATTGGAACAGTCTGTCCCTTGGCGGCCAGGTGAGGGAAATGCGATTATTCATCCCAATCTCCCAGTTACCCAAAATACTAGGAATACATTTTTTCTCTCTCACCTTCTCGGCCCACAGGCCCAAGTGCAGTGGTTCCTTGGCTGTTGGGATTCATTATTGGATTCGGGTTTGGATTGGCACTAGCAGCTGCAATAGTGTACTACAAAGGTAACCTTTCACATCTAAAAAAATGAAGGATTTAATGGCAGTGATGAAGTGCAGGGACAAAGCAAAGCCAGTGAAAAAGCTAGGATAGAAGGGGAGGGGGCACCGTACAGCTAGTCCTTGACTTATGACTATAATTGAGCTTGGAGTTATGGTCATAGGTTGTTGTGGTCCTAAGTTAAAACAACACATGACCAGACCCAATTTTTTTGGCAATTTTTGTGGCAGTTGTTAATCGAACACAGTGGTTGTTAAGAAAATCCATTTCCCCAATGGCCTTTTTGTGCCAGAAACTGGAAGTAAATACTGGAAACTGTTAAATAAGTTGCAAATTATGGTCAACTGGGACGCTACAAACAGCAGGAAAGGTGAGCCAGTTGCCAAGTGCCCAAATTTGATCACATCACCATGCCAAAGATATGGCTGTCTTAACTGAAAACAAGTTGTAAATAGCTCTGCAGAGGTCTGTAGTAACTTTTTAAGGTCATTTTAATTACACTTTTAAAAAATTCTCTCTATTTACAGCCAAGAATAACTCAGTCACAGAAACATCCATTTAGAAAAAGCCTCTTCAAAAAATAGATGAAGAGAAGGTACTTGACATCTCAAACTCAAGACAGGAGAGGCCAGGAGTGGATTAATACCTACAGAAGAGTTGGAGGACATGCAGGAACAGTGACTTTGACTGGATGATTACTGTACATATTCCACTGAAAATTGTGATCTATGTAAAGCAAGCTACAGATTTCTCTTCGGTGATCTGTACAGGCCATGGCTTAATGAAACCACAAATGTGTGAAGGGAGGCATCTGTAAAAGACAAGAAGTGGAAATTGCTCTTTGGAAAAAGCCATTTGTCCCAGATTTTTACTTTCTTTTTCTTTTAAATCAACTGTTTTACAAATTATGCTGTGAAGCAAAACATTAACTCTCTCTTTTAGTTAGTTATTAGAAAAGAGGGGGTGGGAAACTTCCTGTTTTCTTTTAACTTTCTAGCTAGATGTATGCAAAAGATTTAGAAATGGAAAAACTTCAAATTTGAACTACCTTATTTCAAATATGAAACAATTATTTCAAGTGGGAAAAGACTTTTTATTTTATTTTATTTTATTTTATTTTAAATATTTTATCCAGTTTATCCAAAATTTTATTTATGTATTAATACTATAAGATACAGAAATACAAAAGAAAATAGTAGGAAAGATAGGGGAAGGAAAAGGGAAGGAAAAATGTGGGGAAAAGGACAAAAGAAAAATAAGGCATTAACCTCTAACTTCCTTTGGTGCAATAGAATAAAATAATATCTAACCTCAATTTTTTATTTTAGATAATAGTATAAACTAGCCATTTCTATAATAACAAACCTATATAATCAGTAAACCCTATTGGAAACAATGTCCATCTCGGTTCAGTTCCACATGGGAAAAAAGACACTGGAAACATGGAGATTGCTTGGAAAGATGGTTTAATGGTGGACAGGACCACAATGAGATTCTCCACAAAAAAAGAGCACATGGATGAGAGAGGTAGAGAGATTTATATTCTCTGTTGGGCTTTGAACTTGCTTCCTGTTTCTGTGGCAAGAAATGTATTCTGGTTGGTTGTCAGATTCCCATGGGGCCATGCAGGGGTAACTTTGTAGGTTGTCTTGAGTCCCAAGCTTAGTTGAATCTTGCTGGGTGATGTAATGAAGGGGCTTTGGCCAATTTCTATTATGGCATAATGGTTTTGTCCTGGCTTAATGGTTTTGCTCTGAATTTTTCTTTTCTATCCTGATAAGCAAATCCTGTTTCAATCTTTTCTCTTTTCTTATTTTAGGAATTAATCTTATCGAGGCAGGAAAAAGAGAGTTTTGGCTTACCTTGGAGTTTGTTTTTAGCCTGATTCCCCTTATCTTAATGGCTCTACTTAAACATTTCTGTGGTTAGCTTTAGTTACTTTTGTAACAGCAGTTAGCAGGCCGCTCTGAGTTCTTTCTTTCAGCTGGTGATTCTTGATTCTCTTAAAGAGGGAAGAGCTGGCTTGAGTTTTCTTGGCACTATTTTCTAAGGTTTATGGTGCTGTGAGGTTTCTGGTACTGTCATTTTGGGGTATATTTCCCACAACCCAAATAAAAGTTTCATTTCCCACCCATCTCAAGCACAAAGTCCAGAAGCAGATTCCAAGTAGAAACTAAAGTAGTTGTATTTTTGTCTTTAATGAAAGCAATCAGTTTGGGCATCTCTGTTAACTCCATCGACTTCTGCAGCCATTCATCCATTGTGAGAATCAAAATCCTTTCTTTTTTGTGCATAAAGCAATCTTGCGGCTGTCAACATATGTAGGATCACGCTTCCCGATTTCCCCTCTCCCAAGTTTTTTTCCATTAAATCCAAAAGAAAAAAAATCTGGTTTTATTTTTATATTCACTCTGAGAATCTTTGTATTAAGGTATGAATCCCATTCCAATATTTCTTTGCTTTATCCAATATTTCTTTGCTTTATCAAAAGTTCCTTCTTTGCTTTTACATTTCTAATATTCTTTGAAATATCACCTGCCATACTCGTGAGTTCATCGAAACTTGACACTCCACAAGCAATTGTATCAACAGACACATGGATGTACAACCAGTCTACGAACCCTTCAGAATCCAAATCAACCAGAGACAGCACCAACCCTCAACCAACCCATACAAGCCCCCACCCACCAGCAGTTCACCTCCCAATGACCCCGACCTGATATAACCTACTCATAAGACTTTCACTGATGACTCACTCCTGACCCATCACAAGAGCCTCACTTGACACAACCACACCTGAAGCCCTTATAAACAGAAGAACACTGGCTCACATTCCCCCAAACTCCACTGAGGATGTTACCTAGTCTGGTAATGAAACGTTCAGAAACTAACCCACAAGTTCAGAGAATGAACTTGCAAATAGAAATAGAATGACTATGTCAAAAGAAAGCAGTTAGTATCAATAGTAATAGGTGACTTAAGTCCAATCTCAACACAATTTGGAGCACCAAAGGAGCCCATTTTTCTTAGCCATCATAAAAAACCTAAAATTAATCAGTTGGCAGAGTAATCCCCAAACATCTGGAGCATCGACAAATCAGCATCGACAAAATTATACCAGTCAACTGCAAAAGGAAACTTTATTTGGAATAGTTTACATCTTGTGATGATACCTTTAAAATCATGAAACATATATCCCTAATTCCAGGTTCCTAGGAAGATCTTGACAGGTAAATAAAAATGCCAAATCCAGTCTGAACATCTGGTTGATGATGAAAAGAATCGTAATAAGCTTTCTTGTTACTTTCTTTTGGAAATTTCCTGAATGCAGTCATAGTCCAATGGAATTCATTCTCACAAAACAGTTGCTCCAAATATAGATGAAAATAATCTTAGTATAGAATCAAAATCATGTGGAGTATTAGTGGTAGCTTTATAAATCCTTAATAAGACCACAAGCGGAATACTATATCCAGTTTTGGTCTCCACATTACAAAAGAGAAGTTGAGATTTTGGAAAAAGTGCAAAGAAAGAGCAACTAAAATAATTAAAGACCTTGACACAAATATGAAGAATGGTTGCAGGAATTGGATATTGCAAGTCTAGAGAAAAGAAGGACTAGGGGTGACATGATAGAAGTATTCCAGCACCAGAGGGCAGAACAATAAACAATGGATGGAAACTAATCAAGGAAAGAAGCAACCTGGAATTAAGGAGAAACTTCCTCACAGTGAGAACAATTAACCAGCTGAACTTGTCTTTTGAAGCAATAACATCTTCATCACTAGAGGTTTATAAGAAGCTGGACAATCACATATCTGAAATGGGGGCTGGACTAGAAGACCTCAAAGTTCCTTCCAGTTCTATTCTGATTGATAGTAACAATTGCAAACAGAGCGTCAGGCTCGTCCCCTGGCTCTATAAAATGGTTCTCACTGCGCTGTTTAACAAACTGAGAAAATTTGTCCCAGCATATTATTGTTCTTATTTCTCTTGCTATTATGTTTTATCAGGTCCTATATCCTGAAAAAGCAAACATTCTATATTGGATTGTCTTTTGCTTCTTCTGATCTTAACAACTTCGGTTTTAATTTTTATTTGAATTCAGGTAATTCGGATAAACTACCCGTCCCAAATTTTGTCTTTACTTAGTTAAAAAAATTTAAAAATGTCCCCATCCCACCCCCTTTTTGCGGGGTAACTATAGTTTATGTCCTTAAATTTATTTCTAACTGGTTTTACCCGTCCCAAATTTTGCCTTTATCTAGTTATTATTTAAAAAAAAAAAATTCTTCCCCCTCCCACTCCTTTTTCGCGGTGTAACTATAGTTTATTCCTTAAATGTATTTCGGGTTTTTTCTTCGTTAATCAGCAAACGCTTCTTTCGGTAACCCGGAAAAAATATGAAGCGTTGAGCAGGGGCGTATTCCGAGGAAAGCGAAACTCCAGCATTGGCTTTTAAAAAATATGTCGCCTTTCTTCGAATACTTCGCCTGCCTCTTGCTGTATCTGCCGTTTACACGTGAGTAACCAGAAAACCGAATCACCCAAGCTCCTACAGAGCTCAGGAATATCCCGATTATTGAAAAAACGCTCCCTGTGAGGGAGCAAAGTGAAGCCCGGGACTGGAGAGGGACAATATTGCATCTGGAGGCTGGGCTGAAGGACTTTTCGCTTTTTAGCCCCCTCTCACCTTCTAGGCAGAAATAACCCCCTCCAACACTCTTCCCTCCGCAGATAATTCTTGAAACAGAAAAGGCGCAGCGGGGTATCGTGGGAAATTGTTACGAAATCTTTTTAATCTAAGAGTTGCTTAAGGGGACAAAAAAAAAAAAAAAAGTGCGGTTCATACTCCTGCCATTACGTGTCCCGTACGTGTTTCGAGATCACTTTTTTTTTAAATTGGCGTTTTTCAAACTTGGCCAATTTAAGATGTGCGGACTTGAACTTCAAAAGTTCTGGCAACCTTTGCGGGCTGTTTGCTGATATCAGAATTGAAAAACATGTTTATGGACTTGCTTACAGATAAGGGATGGGGTTCGAACTATATGTAGTAATGAAGGTTTGAAGTCACTCTTATGTGTTTCTTTTTCTTATCATTTTCTTTTTTCTCTTTTTTCATCTTTTTTCTTACAATTCTTTTTTCTGAAATTTGTATTAGTTTTTACTATTTTAATCAACATGTGCAATGAAACTGTATGAAAATGGAAGCCCCCCTTGTCTTTTTTAAGAACATAAAATTGGCAAGGGTTCTGCCACTTCTCTTTTTCAGCCCGTGTGATGGAAATAAGTTTCGTTTTCTGCCCTCAAGGATGTTAAGTATAAGGCTTAATCATGGATAAATCAAGGGAAATCACATGTCCTTCTCCCAGGGGGAAGGAATGCAATTGATGCTTGCTTTCAGTGAATCAGCACAGTTCATCAGCTATTTGCTGATCCGCTGGCTTGTGGGGTGGGAGTGGGGCTCAAGAACTAACTAACAGCATGGTGAGAGAGATGTGGTGAAAAAGCTGGATGATGCCTGGTATCTTGCCAGTGGCTAATGCAATGGGATGGCAATGGACCCAGCTTAATGGTTGTTTTTGGAGAACTGTGGCAATGGGGATTGGTGAATCAAAGCCTTGAAAGGGCTTGAATTTGGTCTATGTAGTTGTGAAATATAGTCTGGATTCACAGAAGGGAAAGCTTTCTTTGCCGCTTTCTTTTCTTTCTTTCCAAAGTGGTCAATGTCTGGAATACTCTACCCGACTCTGTAGTTTCTTCCCCAAACCCCAAAAACTTTAACCTTAGACTGTCTACTATTGACCTCACCCCTTTCCTAAGAGGTCTGTAGGGGGCGTGCATAAGCGCACCAACGTGCCTACCGTCCCTGTCCTATTGTTTCTCTTATTCTTTTATTTTTCTTATATGTACCCATTTCATGTATTCACAACTATGTATAATACACTTATACTTATTATCTTGTAAACAATTGGCAAATCAAATAAATAAAATAAAATAAAATAAATAAATAAATAAAGTGGTGAACATATACAACCCACCTTCCTTCTCCTATTTTCGATACAATGACAACCCTGTGAAGTGGTTTGTACAGAGTGACTTGCCCAAAATCACCGAGTGATTTTCATGGTTAAGGAAGGACTTGAACTCCCAGTCTCCCACTTTCTAGCCTGGTGCCTTAACCACTAGGCCAAATTAGTTTTCCTGTTAGACATTCCAGAGGGCAAGGAGTCAGTAAAGCATGAAGAGTTTGGTCAGGAGAAAGAGTTAAGAAGGTTCCTCCCTAGCAATTTCCAAAGTATATCTATAGTGATGTAAATAGTAGCTTTAGTTTGGCAAGATTTTTGTCTAGAAATGAGGAACAATAAAGGCAACTGCTCAGAAATAACTGTCTTTCTTGGTTCTCGGGTTAAGTGGAGCTTGCCACTTGAATCTGGACAGGATTTCCTTGTTAGGCTAAGTTAGGGGTGTCAAGGCCTGTGGGCTGCACCCAGCCTGCAGGGTGCCTAGATCTGGTCCATAGGGCTGCCTCACGGTGCCTCTGCTAGCAAAAATGGAGCTCGGAGTGCGGCCCCACTGTGCTCCATTTTCACTGGCAGAGGGCTACCAAAACAAACTAAAAACAAAACAAAGGGAGAAATGCTTCTCCTTTTGCATTTGAGGATGAAGGGACGGGAAAGGAGAAAGGGAAAGAGGAAAGAAAGAAAAAGAAGTAAAGATGGGAAAAGAGTAAGGAAGGAAAAATAAAGAAAAAAGGGGAAGGAAGAAGAAAGGAGAATGAAAAAGAGGAAAAGTAAGGTAGGTAGGTAGGAAGTTTATGAGAATGAGGGAGGGTCTGATGGAAGTCTTGCCTTAGCATTTGGCCACCACAAGTGCCCCCACATGAGTGACATCGAACTGTCACCCCCCCCCCAGCGTCTCCGAGATCAAACACAACCCTAATGTGGCCCTCAATGAAATTGAGTTTGACAACTCTGGTCTAAGTCATTAGTTTTTATACCCCTTTCAAATGGCACACCAATCAAATGTCAAAAGATGCCTCATTTAGAGGAGCTCATGAGAAAGAAAAACTGTCCCTGAAATAATATTTTACTGCTATAGATAATGTGGAAATAGATGATGAATTTCGGAAAGAATCTGCATTCAAATTCGAGCTAGTTTTATCAAGGAACCCTTATAATTGTAGTTCAGTCAAAGAATAAACCTTCCTTTACAAAACTACACATGAAGGAGGCCCATCCCAATTGTGTATTTATTTGTCAGACGTATATGCATAATGAATGTACCGTAGTGCAGCAAGATAAAAATGAAATGAAATAATAGCCATACACTAGCTAATGAATTAAGCAATAAAGTTTTGTTTCAGATGGTGCATAAAACTGGGTCTTCACTATCTTCACAAGGCCATCACTGAGGGCCCAGCCTGCTTTCCCTGAAGAGGTGCTATGATGGGAAAATCTCTTCAGATGGGTTGATCTCAACTGAGAAGACCTCTAGATACAACAACTAGATACAAGGACAGTTTCCCCCCTGCCTCCCCCCATATATTATCACTCTGCTAAAAACTATTTCCCACAACACTGTCTTATGCCTTGGGATATCAAACTATCGTAGCAAGGCTGTATTGCTATTATCCTCATCTTTCCTATTACCTATTTCCTTAGCTTCTTATGGCTATAACTTTGTTGTTTGTATCTTATAATTTATGCTGATTGGTTTTTTAGTAATTTATTATTTATTAGTATAACTAATAATTTATTACGATACCAATTATACTTTAGTTAATTGCTTATTTAGTAACCTATGACTATCACTGAGTGTTGTATGTAATGATTTATAATGATTGTATTTTATAATTATGATCGTGATTGATCACTTGTTGCTTGTATTTACACTGAGAGCTTATGCATGGAGACAAATTCCTTGTGTTTCCCATTACACTTGGCCACTAAAGAATTCTATTCTTTTTTCTTCTAACTAAAATAGATAATCTTGAACTTATGTGGATGCCAGGCTGCATACAGATAGTCCTTGACTTATGACCATAACTGAGCCCAAAATTCCTGTTGCTAAGTGAAACATTTGCTAAGTGAATTTGCCCCATTTTACGACCTTGTCACAACTGTTAAGTGAATCACTGCAGTTGTTAAGTTAATAAAATAATTGTTAAATAAATCTGGTTTCTTATAAGAAAGTCACAAAAGGTGATCCCATGACCCTAGGACTTCGTAAATATGTCAGTTGCCAAGTTTCTGCAACAACCATAAGTGTGAAAAACAGTCGTGTCATTTTTTTCGGTGCCATTGTAATTTTGAACAGCCACTGAGTGAACTGTGAGGACCGTCGGTAGTGCCTTGTTGATTTTCTAACAGCAATTCTTCCTATTGCGTTTCTCTTACAGAGGCAGCTTTGACCGTCACAGTCCCCGAAGGCCCAGTCCAAGCCAAACCGGGTTCTGATGTCCTGCTGCCTTGTTACTTTGAGGACTCTTCTGGTCACATAGATCCCAAACGCCTGGCTGTGATATGGAGTGTGGGTACAAGAGATATTGCTAAGTATGAAGATAAGTTAGAAATCTTTCACCCGGGGGCAAAGATGTCTTCTGAAGGACTGCTGCGGGGAAACGCCAGCATCTTGCTTCCAAATGTTCAGGATGCAGATGGCACCACTTATACTTGCTTTGTTATCCACAGCCCTGACAGTGAAAAGAAGTTAATAGAGTTGAGAGTGGAAGGTAAGGGAAACCAAGGGAAACAGAATGAGGGTCAAATGATAACCTTATTTAAAGGGCGAAGGCAACACAGGTTAAAAACCTTGATCTGGAACAAACCTGAGCATTTTATGGCCTGCAGGGCACATCCTGATGGGAGGCAATGCATTGGCAGTAGGGGGTAGGGATGGCATGGGGTAAAGGAGGCAGGGTGTTGTGGCCTGTCAGCCACTGGCCCCTCCAGCAGCCAAATCAGAGGAGGAAAAGAGGGCACGGGCTTCAGGAGCAGCATCAGGGCAACCTGGGAGGTACCAAGAGGAAGACGGAATAGAGCTGGGAGAAAGAGAGAGAGAGGGAGGGAGGGAGGGGGAGAGAGAGAGGGAGGGAGGGGGAGGGAGCAAAGCCTGGGCCACCCATCAGCCTTCAGATGGAGAGTCAACAGCCCCCAGGTCTGAAGATGGTTGATGAAGAAGAGGAGGGACAGCTGGGTCTAGTGCCTGATGTGTGGCTGCACAGAAGGTAGAGAAGAGGAGAGCAGTGGAAAGCGTGGGCCAATCCTGGGGAAGAAAGAGCCACCGCTGCTAGCGAGGCCCCACCCTAGCTCTGAGGACAAAAGGCAGCGGGTGGAGATAAATAGGTGTGGCAGACAACTATTCATCTTCTAGCTGGAGGGACTTGTAAGCCTACGACATAAACTTTTTGCCAGGGCTTCTGGCATTCCTAATAAAGGAATCTTTTGAGTTCATGTCAGAGGGTTTGTCGTGTTTAGGGAGCTGGGTCATAACACAGGGGTTGGGAGGGCAGAGGGTAGCTCTGGCAGCCTTCCACAACAGTCCTTGGCTCCTTGGGAAAATTAATTGCCTACTCCTGATCAGGCCACAGTTTTAAAAGTGTTTTGGGGGGAATTAGGGGTCACTGACTATTAATGATGCTAAAACATACTTATTCGGTAATATCTACATCACCTGTGGTGTTTTTTGTTTTTTTCCTGGAAAACATTTTCAATTACAGGTTGACTTCAACCTATGACCACATTGTCACTAAAAAAAAGTGGCTGTTGTGAGTTGCAACTTTTACAACTTTTTTTGCTGCAGTCATTAAGCAAATAACTGGGGTTGTTAAGTGAAACACATTACTGTTAAGCGACTCTGGCTTCCATTGACTTTGCTTGTCAGAAGCTGGCTATAGAAATGGTAACCTTGTGGCCCTGGACACTGCAAAAGTCATAAATACATGGCAATTGCCAGGCACCAGAACTTTGATCACCTGACTGAACACTTCGGCATTAGTGAAGTGCAAGGACTGGTTGCAAGTATGTTTTTCAGTGCCAATATAACTTTGAACAGTCACTAAATGGATTCTTGTAACTTGAGGGCTACATGCACTTCTCGTTTTACCAGGGTGATGCAATCCACCTCCAGGTTACAGACACAGTCACAGGGATGGTGGGTGGATCAGAAGTAGCGTTTCATGATCTCCTCATGGACCTGTTAGCAGGAGATATCTCCTGATAAGACACATAGGGCAGTAGATCTGGCAGAAGCAGGAGGACTTTCACTTCAGTTGTTAACAAGCTGGAACTTGTGAGGTTCGCAAGTGGGAGAAGGGATTGCCTGAACAGGGAGGAATATCCTGCTTCAGCCAACAGCCCCTTTGCTACCTATCAGCATACCACACATGTCATCGGTTTGTCAAAGGGTGGGAACCAATAGGAACAAAACCAGATACATGCACACACCCAACAAAGAAATAGAGTGCTGTTTATTGCTAGACAACTTGAGTACACAATGTATTTACAAGAATTCTAGTAAATACGTATATGTGTGTACCGTGTTTCCCTGAAAATAAGGCCGTCTTATATATTTTTTGCCACAAAAAAAGGCACCAGGTCTTATTTTCAGGGAATGTCATCCACTGACTAACCTCACTTGCGTGCATCCAGCCCCCAGCCTCCTTTTTTGCTGTCAGAGGCCTTCAGGAACTTCTTCTTCTGCGGCTGGCAAGGCTTTCCTGAAGGCCTCTGCAGCCAATAACAGAGTTCTGGATCGATCTGGAACATTCTTATCAGCTACAGAGGCCTTCAGGAAAGCCTTGCCAGCCTTGCCGGCTGCAGGAGAAATGGGACATCAAGGCAGGTGTCAGGGTGTGCAAGGCCTGGCTACAACTGTCCAAAGGTAAGTAGTAGGGCACCTCCACCCTACCCTAGCTTAATTTTTACCCATCCACTCTGGAGTGGGTGGGATCTTAATTAGGGCTTATTTTGGGGATAGGGCTTATATTGGGTGCACGTGTAAAAATCAAGCTAGGACTTACTTTCAGGGTAGGTTGTATTTTCAGGAAAAGAGGGTATGTATCTATACATATCCACACTGTTACCTAATGTATATGTAAATATATACACTATCAAAATCTAACTATGAAATATGCTAACAGAATTTAAATGAGTTTTTCTTTTTTTACTTTATGGCACAAGACACTTGGCTGCTACAGTTTTCATCTTCCCACTCTTATTTATTTTTAATATGCTTTAACTTTTCTCGCTTTTGCCCAGTTACTGTACCTGGTAGTCATTGACTTATGACCACAATTGAGCCTAAGATTTCTGTGGTTAAATGAGAAATTTGTTGACTGAATTCTGCCCCATTTTACGACATTTTGACATATTTGTTAACCGCAGTTTTTAAATTAGTAACATAGTTGTTAAGCGAATCTGGCTTCTCCATTGACTTTGCTTGTCAGGAGGTTGCAAAAGGTGATCCCATGACCCTGAGACACTGCAACTGTCATAAATATGAACCAATTCTCAAGCATCCGAATGTAAATCACGTAATGATGCGGATGCTGCAACGGTAATCAGTGTGAAAACTACGGCACAATCACTTTTTTCAGTGCCACTGTAACTTCAAACAGTCACTAAACGAACTGTTGTAAGTTGAGGGCTTCTTCAGTGGTGGTATTCAGCAGGTTCTGACCAGTTCTGGAGAACCGGTAGCAGAAATTTTGAGTAGTTCGGAGAACCGTAAATACCACCTCTGACTGGAGATTTTACAGTATACTTCCCCTGCCACGCCCACCAAACTACGCCCCCAGAACCGGTAGTAAAAAAAATTGAATCCTACCACTGGACTACTTGTACCAGTATTTACACCTGAACCACTTGGAATTTGTTCTACCTATAGTCCCGGGCTACATTTTCCTTCGCACTGCCACTTTTTACAGATCCTTGTCTTTCTTCTCCTGCCTTGGGCTTCTTTCTGGTCTTTCTCTCTCTTCCTGATCTAGCTGTGAGGCCTCTGGCTTTCTGTTTTCTCATTCACTTCTTCTGCTGCTCTACTTCACATTGTCCCTTTTTGCTCCAGCATATCTCCTGCCACACCTAGATGACTCCATCCTTTCTTTCTCTTTCTCCCTCTCTCTCATCTTTATTTATTTCTCTTCCTTTCTCTCTCGCGCTCTCTCTCTCTTTCTTTCAAAAATCTATGTGCTAGGAAAGAAGTGCTTGCAGGCAATTCTTTGGATTGTAATGTTTTTTCCCCTCTTTTCTGTATGATATAGCCTACCTGCCTTTGCTATATACAGTACTTAACTGTAAGACCGCCAAACAAGGCAGAAATGACCTTGACAATTGCACATAACATTTTCTTGTTTCAGAGCGGCTCATTTTTCCAGAGTGGGGATAGTGTGACTGATGGGATAGTGTGACTGATTGTGAAAATCACAATCTGAATCGGTGCTCTCAGCAATCCTGAACTTTCAGAAATGACTTAGAGAGAGAAGGTAGCAGTTATAAAGTAATAAACAAAAAGGAAGGAAGAGAATGTTTAGTTGTTCTAGCCCACTTTTCTTTTTGTAAGGCATGCCCTCTGACCTCAATTCCTACGAGAATATAAATAAAACAAGGATATATATACATAATTAGAGTGAATATGTAAATAAAACAAGGCCCTGTCATATCTACCTATGCTATCTGTACCATCTGAAATTGGCAGCAGATTTTGCTCTCTGGGAATTAGCCATTATTTGAGCTGGACTGTTGGCTATTGGAGAGATTATGATCAGTAGTGTCTTTTTTTCTTTGAATTTCTTTGAATTTCTTCCCTAGAAATGTTTGCTAGCTTGGTTTGCCCATCAGAATTACTTGTCAGCCAAAATCCTTCATGTTGTCAGACTGTGTTCTTTGACTTTACTACACGGTTTCTTATATGCTAATTTCTCACAATTTTTATAGTACATATTCTGTACATATGAATGCATTTTTTAAATTTGTGACTGTGTGTTTCAGTAAATTCATAAGGAACAGAACTGGATGCAACCTCTGCCTGGTACTGAGTTAAATGCATTTTCTACAAATAGAATACTTTGTTACAGTGTTTATGTGCAGTTGTTTATTGACCCAGAGTAAGGAAATTGAGAAGGACAGGTGCAGACGTTTAGACATTCTTTTCATCAGTGCCACCTCCTTTGCAACATTATTTGTAGGAAACGAACAATCTTTGTATTCTGGTTTTTGGAGTTTTCCCATTCCCTCTGTGTCTTCCAGACGCTGACTTGCACTTTTCCAAACAGTACTGAATAGCAGTAGGTAGATGGGGGATCAGGGCTGTTGGCCTTCAGAGCTGATGAATGGAGTTAATTGGGTTGCTAGATAGTAAAAATATTTTCTTTTGTCCTCTCTGTTCCCAGCTGCCCCACTTGTTAAACTTGGCTCCACAACAGTGCAGTTGACCAAGCCAAGCACGGTTGCATGTATAGCAACAGATTTCTATCCTGGCAATATATCCATGACGTGGTTCCGAAATGATAGGATTGTGCAAGGCCCCGAATGGCCTCCTGCTCAGCCCAGCACTGGCCAATTGTTCAGAGCAGAAAGCCTCTTGAAGCTCACACCAGAATTTTCGGATGCCAACGCCAACTACTCTTGCCAAATCCATCACCAAGCACGCGAAGGGCCAGAGGTACTAAAATTCCAGCTTCACTTGCAAGGTGAGTATAGCCTTTTGCTCAGAAAGCAAGGGACCCAGGCAGTTATAGACCCTTATCTTACAAACCTAGGTTATCGTGACATCTTAAAGTCGGAACCAAACGAACCACACTATTGTGTAGCATGAACCAGCCACTAGTTTATCTTCTTAAAAGGTTCAGAGCTAGCTTTACATTCAACTTGGAGACATTTATACCTTATAGGTAATGTCACTCTTTCAACTGATCACTTGCAAGGTGAGTATAGCCTTTTGCTCAGAAAGCAAGGGACCCAGGCAGTTATAGACCCTTATCTTACAAACCTAGGTTATTGTGACATCTTAAAGTCGGAACCAAACGAACCACACTATTGTGTAGCATGAACCAGCCACTAGTTTATCTTCTTAAAAGGTTCAGAGCTAGCTTTACATTCAACTTGGAGACGTTTTTACCTTATGGGTAATATCACTCTTTCAACTGATCTGTATTTAGTGGAAGATGAGAAGCTCTTGGGGACTTGTATATTTTCTCATACTAAGATGAAAGATACCACATGGTGTTTTTTATATGGTCACCCAGAAGGATATGCACAACTTGGATATCTTCTGATAGAAAAAAGAGCAATTCATCCCTCCCCCAAGCAAATAGGAAAACATCACAAAATAATAATCATTTCCACAGAAGCTGAGCAGAAAAACTTCAGAATCAAAGTCTTTCACAAAGAAAAAAAACCAAAACGGTCTAGCACTCAGCTAAGCATAATAGCGTCAAAGCTAGCCGATACATGCAGCAGCTGCAAGTAAACTCTGAAACCACAGGAGACAGCTCTTTTGCTTTCAACTAAACTAAAACAATAAGGACTGACAAGATTAAGACAATAGCACCCAGAGACTCACCAGATTTTCAACTCCATCCCTCTCAGTGGCTAGGATTAACCTCTTCCTTCCTGAATGACCAACCTAGAAAAAATAATCCCATCCAAAGGCACACCAGCAAGCCCCATTAAAATATCTGAGTCTCAAAAGCTAAAAAAAGAGTGTAAAACCTTCAGTATCTGGTTCTCTGGTCAGCTAGCTAGCTCAGAACCCATTGCTGATGTCACTATCCTCTGGCTTCTTTCTGGCAGCTTGCTTCCTGGTCTATTTGTCCCGCAGTGCTAATAGCTTTATCCCTGCCGGAGGGACGAACCAAGGGAGTTTTTCTTCCAATACTGCTAAAGGGGCAAAAAAAGATTAAAATACTAAATTGTGCCCCCTGTACAATCAGAACACAGCACATACCATTTTGACAACATTGCACCTTTCAGACACAGTGGTGCACTATCTAAGGTCCCAGTGCTACCTATAGTTCCATAAACATTGGATTGTGGACCCCAGAGATATTGCTGTGAGTCAGGGGAAGAGAGAAATAAAAACACAAGGGCATTGCAGTAACTTCATATATCATTTGTTCAAACTGCATGTGATAAAAGCTACAGTAGATTTACTGTCTTGATAGATTGGTTCTTTGAGACTGTAAATACATGGCTCTTATGCCCTGTAACCTCTCCCTCTGCTAGCACAACTCAAATGTCAATCTAGGAGATCGTAGGGCTTAGGGGGGCTGCCTGGCTTCCCATTGGTGGGCATCTCTACCTCTTGGCTGATTATAGGATCCAGGAATACTGAGTGTTGAGGTAGCTTCATGGCTCATGACCTGTGTTTGTTTCAGATCAGTGTTTGTAAGCATGGCAGTTTTAAGATGCATGGACATCAACTCCCAAAATTCCTCACCTTAAAACAGTCCTTTTAGTGACCGAAGTTACAACAGCACTTAATAATAATAATACTTTATTTGCGGCCACAGACCAAAACACAAGTACTAGAACAAAAAAAAAAAGAACATGGGAAAATTAATCATGAACAATTGGTCACCAAAAACTTGACTAAAGGGAATTACAGCGTTCTCCTCTGATGGTTACAGTTCTTAAAAAAAAATTGGAAACCTGAGAAGTGATGTATGAGGAAGCCATCCCCTAGACAATATAAGAACAAATTACTAACACTGGGTCTAGAAGGGTCTGCTTCAAGGAGAGACAGTAACTTAGATCTACCTGCGTTATACATAGGGCAATATAAAAGGACATGCTCCACAGTTTCAACCTCAGCTCTGTCACAGGGGCATAGCCGCTCGTTAATCAGGAGCCTCTTAAATTGCCTATCCAGTAGTGCTGAGTGCAAGACATTAAAGCGAGCTAGGGAGAAAGCTCTTCTATACTTGGGAATGGTTAGAGTGTAAAAATAGGAAGCCATCCTCAGTCCGTAATTATTAAATTGGCTGAAGATCAAAGGGAAGCAAGTTTTGTTAGCTCTGGCTCGTAGATATTGCAAATCAATGTCCACAAGCCGTTGGACTACCCTAAATTGGGCGTCCTTAAGGCCATAATCTCCCAGGGCATCCCCTGTAAAACCTAGCAAGTATAATTTCTTCGTCAGCTCCCTCTCCCAACGAGAAATATGAGAGTCAGCAAACGCCAGGGAGAGGTAGCTACCAGGAACTGTCAGAGCACCCGAAACCACCATTTAAAGGTGTTAATCCACGCCATACATTCGACTGATCGAGTGCCCAGTTCCAGGTACATCGGAGCAAAACCAACACAAGGAGGAAGACCCAGAAGTTTTCTAAGAAAGACAGCCTGGGTTCTTTCAATACAATCCTTGAAGCCCCGTATCCATATGGGAATTCCGTAAAGAGTTTGAGCCAAAGTTTTGGCTTTGTAAATACGCAGAGCAGAAGGAATAAACTAGCCTCCTTGGGTATAAAAAAATCTTAAAATCTGCTGGTGACTACAGGAGGCCAAATTCAGCACCTGGGTTCGATGTCTAGTCCAAGCACCGGTGTTCTGAAATTGAATACCTAAATACTTAAAATGGAAAACCTGCTTAACAGCATTACCATTGATAGCCCAGTTATACAATTTCCGGGCTCTAGAGAACACCAATACTTTGGATTTGTCATAATTAATGGACAAGTGGTTCTCAGCACAGTAAGACCCAAATGCAGAAAGTAATCTTTTCAGACCTGGCCTTGACAGTGAAAGGAGGGCCGCATCATCAGCATAAAGGAGAAGCGGGATCTTCGTAGTTGACCGCTTTGGGGCATGGGACTCAATACGTCCAATGTGAAAGGCCAAGTCAGATAAGAATAAATTAAACAAAGGAGGAGCCAGAACACAATCCTGCCTTGCTCCGTTCTTAATTGGGATAGCTCTCCCTGCAAACCACACCTGACCTGACTAGAGGTCTGGTTGTACAAGGATCTAATTAGGAACGGAAGACATCTATCGATAGAGCTTTTGAGCAGTTTTGACCACAACAGTCCCCTAGGGACTGAGTCAAACGCTGACTTTAGGCCGATAAAAGCAGTAAAAAGTTTGCCACCTGGTATGGTAGTATATTTATCGACCAGGTGCGCTAAGACAAAGCAGTGGTCCAGTGTGGCACAGCCCGCTTTAAACCCAATCTGTTCAGCACCAATAATATTGGACTCTTCAGTCCAAGTGAGGAATCTACGTTGGAGATATTTAGCATACAATTTCCCAATGATGGAGAGCAGGCTTATGGGGCGATAAGTCGGCTGGATTGTTCCTATTTCCTCGTTTAAAAACTGGAACAATAATTGCTAATCTCCAGGAGGTAGGGATCCCGCCAGAGGTATTGATATGTGTGAAGAGTCTTGCTAAGAGAGGAATCCACCACTCAGGATTGGATTTTAGCAGATCAGGGGGTATAGCATCAGGGCCAGGGGCCTGACTTGAGTTCGGAGATAAGCTCGGTAATCTCATCATGAGTCATGGGTTGCCAATCAGGAACTGCAGGAGGTAGCTGTGGCCCAAGTACGGTCGAACTTGTTGACGCCTGGAAAATTGCCAAGAAATGGTTTTCCCAATCTCTGTTGGAAATACAGCAGAGAGGGAGTTCTTGATGACCCGGCAAGGAGCTGGCAACAATTTGCCAAAATAATCGAGTGTTCTTCTGCTGGATGGAGAGGAGAAGTAGATCCCACTTCTCTCTCTCTCTTTAGCTTTCTTTTTCTTAGCAATTAGTCCTTTATACTCCCGCTTCAAGCGATAGTAGTCCTCTGGTGGGCATTTATCCCCTCGATTACGATAGAGCAGGTAAACCCGATTAATCTGGTTCTTGAGCATCAGACACTCTTTGTCAAACCAAGAATTACTTCTTGAATGATATGGACCACTCGGCCTACGGACTATTAATTAGTGATTCAAAGGCTGAGATTGTCCCTGGGCCACTACTTGTTAGGGCCTGATTGTATAAGCTGAGACACTCCGGAGATGATAAAAAGGAGTGAAACTTTCTTTCAGTATTAGAAGACCATTTGATCCCCCTTGTATACGAGGCCACATAGGGATCTAATATCTGGGGACCCCTAGGCAGATATATATTTGAGGAAAGCCCAATGATTGTAACCAGGAGGTAGTGGTCACTCTCCGTAAGGCAGTCCACATAAAAAGCACGGACTGCCTTTCTAAGAAGCTAGGATACCAGCACAAAATCAATAACACTACTCCCACGTGAAGAACTAAAAGTAAACTCACCAGCTAGATCACCTAGGATATTCCCATTAAGAATTATCTTATTGTGTTGGGCTGCTAAAAGGGCTAACTGAATGCCAGCAAAATTTGTTAATTCATCCTTAGAATGTCTGGCTGAAATCAGGTGTCCTATAGCCCAGAGGGTTTCTTGGGAGTAGAGTGCCTCAATTGATGGGGGAACTTGGACTCCCAATCGGACATTAAAGTCACCCCCTATAAGGATGTACAGCACTGGGAATTTAATTTCCATACAAGTAATGTAATTCTTCAGCACGCCCCATTGAGCCTTAGTATCAGCTTGCCTCATCATTGGGGGAAGATAAACGTTGAACACTAACAGTTTGCTGCATCCTCTCTTAATTAGGAGTGCCATAGCTAAAGAGCCATAGGGGGGCAGCTCCACTGTCTCCACTTTCAAAGAAGTAGAGAC